GGTTACCCAGGAATCTGTCTTTTGCAGGGATTTTGATAGAGCAGATCCCTGAAGTGAGGCAGGTCTAAGGTGGAAAATGTGGAAACTCATACATGAGGTGGGACAATACTATGGTCCACCAATAAGACTACAAGTACAATTGCTCAGGAAAAATTGAGTAAATCAGGATCAAATGGGGAAGTGAGTCTCGTAGTGATTCAGGGAGAAAAACTAGTCTCGGGTGGGTGACCTCCAAACAATGTAGGGAACCTCCGAATGACATAGGGAAAAATGATCTCTGGACCTGACCTGCACGAGTTCATGTTCTCTAAAAACGAAGAATGAATTTTAGGAACAAACAGAGGTTATAAGCAGAATATATTTATTGAGAGAAAGAAAGCTCCTGTCCTGAGAGAGGGACAGGAGGGGGGTCCCGAGCAGGTAGTTCCCCCAGGGGAAATTGTCTCTTACAGGGACTTTTATAGAGGAAAACCATGCAGTGAGGCGGGTCTAAGGTGGTGGAGAAGACATGGGAACTCCTTAGTTGGGCATGAGGTGGGACCAAACTATGGTCAACCAATGAGATTTCAAGCACCATTGCTCAGGTAAAATTGATTAAATCCAGTATCAAATGGGAAAGCGAGTCACGTAGCAAGCGGGCATGAGTACCAGACAGGGTCTCTTCCTGTTGGGGGTTGGGCTAGTGACTCATTTGGGCTCTTTCAAGTTGACTGATACTATTTAGGATATCAATCCCTGATGCCCATCCCTAGGGAAGTATGTAGCTGTGCTTCTTCTTTTTGTCTTGGTCTCGAGGTGAGGCCCACATGGGAGTGTCTGTCTCTTCCAAGTTGCAAAGTCACCTTGTCTTCCATCTTGTCTCCTTGAGGGCCTGACCCTGTCTAACTGCGTATAATATTTCTATCTAACTCAGCTGCCTACAACAGTAGGAAGAGGGCCTGAATACAGAACTGGGGCTTTTCCTAAGGGGTTGGTTAGTAACACTTCCTGGCTTTTTCAAAGTGATCACTACTTATTTAGAATATCAATTCCTGGTGCCCATCCCTAGGGAGGAATGTGGCTGCATTTGTTTCATCTTTTGTCTTGAGGTCTGCAACTGGAGATAATTTTTACAGTGACTTTTCACAACTACAGGTAACTTCAAGATAGAGGTAACAATCGTGACAGTATCATTGTTCACAAATTTTTAACATTTGAGTGCAAGACAAAACTTATAATAAATATACCCTACTCTTCCCCGTGCCTTTACAGAGGTGATTGTGTGTTCTTAACTAAATATTGTATTATAAGCATTTTCATGTCTTTACTCTTCAAATATAGGATTATTTTAAATACAACATAAGCTTTTATATGTTTTAACTATTATCTCACTCTCTACTATTTCTCATATTCATTTCCTTTTTCTCTCCCTTCTCCCTGAATTCAAATTCACTTCAACATTACATTGTTCCACAGTTTACAAAATCAGCAAATGGAGATAATAATTATTTTCAATTCACAGGGTATTATAGTGATTAAAGGAGCTGATTCAGGGGCTCAGGGAGTAACAGTGGCAGAACACACACTTAGCAGGCAGGAGGCCCTGGTTTCTATCCCAGAATGAGAATAATAATATTTAACATATGATTTATATAGGGCCAAACCCTGCACTACTTACAGAGTAAATCAAAGGCAGTTAGACACCTAATTTTCCATAACACTTATA